AATTGCCTTGGCAAATGAATCCACATTTCACAAGAGAACCAAGCACATCAAGAGACGCTTCAATTCCATCCGCGATCAAGTCAAGGAGGGAGACATAGAGATTTGCAAGATACATACGGATCTGAATGTTGCAGACCCTTGACTAAGCCTCTCTCATGAGCAAAACATGATCAGCACCAAGACTCCATGGGTGTTAGAATCATTGCAATGTAATCTAGATTATTGACTCTAGTGCAAGTGAGAGACTGAAGGAAATATGCCCTAGAGGAAATAATAAAGTTGTTATTTATATTTCCTTATATCATGATAAATGTTTATTATTCATGCTAGAATTGTATTAACCGGAAACTTAGTACATGTGTGAATACATAGACAAACTGAGTGTCACTAGTATGCCTCTACTTGACTAGCTCGTTAATCAAAGATGGTTAAGTTTCCTAGCCATGGACAAAGAGTTTTCATTTGATGAACGGGATCATATCATTAGAGAATGATGTGATTGACTTGACCCATCCATTAGCTTAGCACTTTGATCGTTTAGTTTATTGCTATTGCTTTCTCCATGACTTATACATGTTCCTATGAGTATGAGATTATGCAACTCCCGAATACCAGAAGAACACTTAGTGTGCTATCAAACGTCACAATGTAACTGGGTGACTATAAAGATGCTCTATAGGTGTCTCCGATGGTGTTTGTTGAGTTGGCATAGAACAAGATTAGGATTTGTCACTCTATGTATCGGAGAGGTATCTTTGGGCCCTCTCAGTAATGCACATCACTATAAGCCTTGCAAGCAATATGACTAATGAGTTAGTTACGTGATGTTGCATTACGGAATGAGTAAAGAGACTTGCCGGTAACGAGATTGAACTAGGTATTGAGATACCGACGGTCGAATCTCGGGCAAGTAACATACCGATGACAAAGGGAACAACGTATGTTGTTATGCGGTTTGACCGATAAAGATCTTCGTAGAATATGTAGGAACCAATATGAGCATCCAGGTTCCGCTATTGGTTATTGACCGGAGATGAGTCTCGGTCATGTCTACATAGTTCTCGAACCCATAGGGTCCGCACGCTTAACGTTCAGTGACGATCGGTATTATGAGTTTGTGTGTTTTGATGTACCGAAGGTAGTTCAGAGTCCCGGATATGATCACGGACATGACGAGGAGTCTCAGAAAGGTCGAGACATAAAGATCGATATATTGGAAGGCTATGTTTGGACATCGGAATGGTTCCGGATGACTTCGGGCATTTACCGGAGTACCGAGGGTTACCGGAACCCCTCGGGGAGCATATGGGCCTTAATGGGCCTTAGTGGGAGAGAAGAGAAGGCAGCCCAGGAGGGGGCGCTCCCCCAAGCCCAATCCGAATCGGGTGGGGGGGCGCCCCCCCTTTCTTTTCTCCTTCCCCTCTTCCTTCTATTCCTAGTTGGACTAGGAAAGGGGGGAGTCCTACTCCTACTAAGAGGAGGACTCCTCCCCCTTGGCATGCCTAGAGAGGCCGGGTGGCCTCCCCTCTCCCTCCTTTATATACGTGGGGAGGGGGGCACCCTAGAACACACAAGTTGATTTCTTAGCCGTGTGCGGTGCGCCCCTCCACAGATTTCCACCTCGGTCATATCGTTGTAGTGCTTAGGCAAAGCCCTGCGTCGGTAACTTCATCATCACCGTCATCACGCCATCGTGCTGACGAAGCTCTCGCCCGACACTCAGCTGGATCTAAAGTTCGTGGGACGTCACCGAGCTGAACGTGTGCAGATCGCGGAGGTGTCGTACCTTCGGAGCTAGGATCGGTCGGATCGTGAAGACGTACGACTACATCAACCGCGTTGTCATAACGCTTCCACTTATGGTCTACAGGGTACGTGGACAACACTCTCCCCTCTCGTTGCTATGCATCACCTAGATGGATCTTGCGTGTGTGTAGGATTTTTTTTTGGAAATTACTGCGTTCCCCAACAGGCTCCGGGGTAGGCGTGACCTAACCCTTGTTGGGGAGCCTGTGCGCGATGTTCGCGGACAGATAGCCCGCGCCCCGGAGCTCCTTGACGTCCTTCTCGGTGACGGAGGAGGCCTCCCACTTGCCCTTGGAACCAGATCCAGACATGGTTAGGGAGGTTGGTGGCGGTGGGAAAGATTGAAGTTTTGGGGCGCTGGAGCTCAGAGGTGGGAAGGCAAGAGCTAGAAGAAGGTGTGGGGAAGAAAGGAGGGATTTTCTACCTTCTTATAGGCAGTGAAATACCAAACGCCCCCCCACTCAAGCCTTAAAACCTGCATGTTCCCAAAGAGATCGTGTGAATGGCGCGGTTGGATTATCCAAAACCGTATTGATGAGAATCCCGCAATGGGGGGCACGATCTCTGTTTTGACAAGACGTGGCAATGGGGCTATGCCTCGAAACGCAAAACGGGAGGCATGCAAACGGTTCGAAATATTAAAGAGCCAAATGTGACGCTTCACGGGAAAAAGTTGTCAGTAAAAGAAACTGTTTTATTTGGATATCTTGCCTTCGTGGCTAAGGGTTGTATCAATTATACAGAGTCGGATACAGTTCCTTTGTATAGAGAATTGTCCTAAAAGTGTTCAGGAGAAGGAACCCGTCTTGCAATGCCGAAGACAATCCGTGCGCCGAACACATCGCCATCGACGACTGGTTCAGGGGCTACTGAGGGAGTCCTGGATTAGGGGGTCCTCGGGTGTCCGGATTACTTGATATGGGCCGGACTGATGGACCGTGAAGATAAAAGCAGAAGACTTTCCTCCGTGTCTGAGTAGGACTCCTATATGCGTGGACGGCAAGATTGGTGTCCGGATATGTTATTTCCTTCCTCTACAAACCGACTTTGTACAACCCTAGGCCCCTCCGGTGTGTATATAAACCGGAGGGTTCAGTCCGTAGAGGCTATCTGAATTCTCATAGGCTAGACTGCTAGGGTTTAGCCATTACGAGCTCGAGGTAGATCAACTCTTGTAACCCCTATACTCGTCGAATACAATCAAGCAGGACGTAGGGTTTTACCTCCATTAAGAGGGGCCGAACCTGGGTAAACATTGTGTCCCACTTGTCCCTTGTTACCACCAATCCTCAGACGCATAGTTCGAAACCCCCTACCCGAGATCTGTCGGTTTTGACGCTGACAGGCGCGACTGTTGTGTTGGGGCTTACTGAATTTGCATGCCTATTTAGAGGGCACGTAACTCTGGAGACTGACTGCGTGGAGATCGGACGGGAACTTCAATTTGTACGAGAGTGCAGGAATGCCTTCCGAGCGGTTCTGTCGGATATGAGGAGACAACTCTCCTTGTTCACCAACGTGGAGATCAGCATCGTCGGCCGTAAGAAAAACAAGTTGGCTCATGAGTTAGCGGCCATTGCAAGGAAGGTGTGAGACTTCAAAATTATAGTTGATGTACCCGAGGCCATGAGGCTAGTAATGCAGAATGAGATTGTAACCACCATGGCGTAAGTCTTAACCATGGTTCTAAAAAAAATCAACATAAGCAAGAAATGATACTTGGTAGGTGCAAACGGTGGGCTTCCCAGGGTTACCAACCAAACTTGCATCTTGTAAATCATTAAAAACAACATGAAAATGGTTAAATGTATATCCAATGATTAGTATAGCATCAAAGTAGAATTCCACAAATCATCTAGCGAAAGCATGTAAAAGCTTGTTCATCAATATCATGAAAGTATTAGGTGCATTGGTTAATCAAAAAGGCATAACTAATCACTCATATACCATGAATTCAATTTTTGATGTTGTTTTCTACCCATCTCCCAGTTTCATAATAATTTAATGGTATCCACTGCGCAAATCAACTTCAAAAAATATGATGGATCCACTGAATTCATAAAGCATATTCTCTAACAAAGGAATAATATGACAATATCACACAGTAATATTATTGACGGCTCTGCAATCAACACAGATAAGTCACGATCCATCCTTTTTGACGCTAAGACAACAAAAACAATCCATCAACTAAAGGATTTGTGAACATAACCCTTGTCAAGTACTCACTCCGTCTTAAAATAAGTGTCTCAAATTTAGTAGTATAACTTTGTATTAAAGTTAGTATAAAGTTGAGATATTGAGTTATGTACTTGACGCTGAATCTGAGACTGGAACCAGCACGCCGCCGATAGGAAAACAGGGCCGAAATCACTATTCTGACCCTTTCAACGAAACTTGTCACAAAATGAACTCGACGTGAAAGTATTTCACGATCTGACCCTTTTAGCAACGCCACAGCCCGCGGCGTTTCTGCCAAACACAGAAACGCCGAGGTAGCTAGCGTTTCTGACCAAGAAGAAACACCGAGGCAGCTAGCGTTGCGGACCAGGTAAGAAACGCCAAAGGCGCTGGCGTTGCTGCCCACCATTGAAACGCCAAGGGACCATGGCGTTGCTGCCTTTTCCATGTGCATTTGAAATGTGGATGAACAGCCTAACTAATAAGGCTAATTAATTACGACCAAAGAGGGTAGCAACGCCATGGTCCCTTGGTGTTTTCATGATGGGCAGCAACGCCAGCGCCTTTGGCGTTTCTTACCTGGTCCGCAACGCTAGCTGCCTCGGCGTTTCTTCTTGGTCAGAAACGCTAGCTACCTCGGCGTTTCTATGTTAAGCAGAAACGCCGCGGGCTGTGGCGTTGCTAAAAGGATCAAATCGTGAAATACTTTCACATCGAGTTCATTTTGTGACAAAGTTCATTGAAAGAGTGAGAATAGTGATTTTGTCCGGAAAACAGCGGGCCGTACGCATCGCGCAACGTGGTAATATCCACCGCAACGGATAAGAACGCCACAACGGATAAGACCGGCCAGCCCAAAAGATCCAAGAAGCGCACTATAATATCGTCATCACCCCACGCCGTACCTGTCACCGTCCATTCCCATCCCACCCCACTCCACCAGTCCACACCGCAGCAGCACTCCAGTGAGCTCGAAACCTAGAGGAGGAAGCGATACAGTACTACAGGCAACCATGGAGGTGGTGACCGGCAGCAACGGCGGGAGGCTGAACCCGTGGGCGGAGCCCTTCGTGCCGGGCAGCTGGTGCCGCCCCGCCCCCGTGCAGGCGGCGGCCGCGGCGGAGGTCGAGGACTTCTCCACCGAGTGGTGGCGCCTCGTCGCCTCCTCGCCGTCCTTCCGCGACAGCTGGCTCCGCGACTACGGCGACCTGGGGCTCCTCGACGCCGACGAAGGCCCGGACGACAGCGACGCCTTCTTCCCTCCGCCGTGCCACAACGGTACGTGACCAGACCGGCCCAGATCTACTTTTCTTCACGGTTGTTACCTTGGTGTTAAACCTACCACCGTGGTTCGGAGCAGATGGAGAGGAGAGGAAGGGAGAGGCCGCCGTCAAGAAGAGCGGAGGCGAGGTGGCGCCCTGGGGGATCGAGAAGTGGTGGCGGGCGCACGTCGCCTCGCCGCCGGAGGTCCCGAAGTACGCGGAGAAGGCGCCTGCTAAGGTCCTGGGCGGCGGCAGGTTCAGCCCCCGCACCATCCAGCAGCCTCGCTAAGGGACCGGCCAGCCTCATCGCGTTCCGCATCGATCCATCGATCTTGGCATAAATGAATGGAAAAGGGATAGAAAAAATAGTTGTTTGCGAGCTCTTGTGCTCTTAATTAGCTTTGCTTATGCTAAATTTCGTCGTGTCTCGTTTTCGTTCTAGTTTCCAGCTCAAGATCGAAGGGAGGTTCAATTCGCTGCGCTGTGTATGTACAGACGTCTGTAAATGATGTACTAGTGTGTAATAAGATGCAGTGATGCAATGACTCCATTCGGTGCAAATGGTTTTCCAGTTTTCGTTGCCTGAACCACAATGCTGCATGTAGATTTCTGATGGATCCCACGGAGAGAAGCACAGGTTGCTCTCGGCATCTGTAGAGGTTCAGCATCGCAATCCAGAACGACTAAACTGAACTATTTGAGATAAAAAGCAACTAGACAGTTTGCTCTCGGCATCTGTTGAAAGAACTAGCTAAACACTTTTTACAGAGTTAAAACCTGCACACTTGGAAGATGAGTGGGTAATGCTGCTCTCAGCATCAATCTTCACTATACATTCCATTTCCTGCTATGTACTTTTGCATTGAGCCACAGCTTCCCTCGGTCAGAGCTGTTATATGTACCCCCCTTTGGTCAGTCTTTTACCTATCACAGCTTCCCTCGGCAGTTTTCAGCGCCACAGAAACACTCTGTCTGTGGACCAAAATGTTGTACGAAGCTACGAGATAGACCAAAAACTGAGATGAGAGTGCATCATAAAACATACTTCTGTGTACTTGCAACACTAATTCAAAAGTGAAGCAATACAGGAAATGATCTTTTAGTGCTTCCCAAAGGCTAAATATTTTACTCAGGTGCAGTGCTATATGTCGAAGATAAATCCAGAGTCTAGGACTGTTAATCTAGGTCGTGATTATGTCCCAGCCTAATTTTTTTCAACAATCAATGAACCATTATTATGTTAAGAAATGCTGTCAAAAACGAGAACTAAACTATAGTACAGTAACAATTATGAGTTGATGCCTCTGGAGAATTAATATTAATATAGAGTGGCGGTGCCACACACAAATTGCCACTTTGTTGAACTTATATTGCATCAGAATACTTGGAAGTTTGGAAGATTTCAGAAAGGTTGATACTTGACACCGAGGGATATTGGATCTAGCATCACCACTGCTGACATATCCTTTCCATGTAAACCTAGTATTGTCACTAGGACTTTATTTTTATTCATCTATGGTGTCAGCTTTTATTGACTATGTAGAACATAAAACGGAATCCAGAATTTTCTTATTACAGTGGAGCACCAGAAAAGGCAAAATGATAGTATGATTTAGTCAGGATAAAGATCCAGCTAAGCATCTGTACGGCTACGCAAATTAACGTTGTAAACAATTTGTTGGTTGTAGAATGCATACAAATTATACCAAACGTCAATGTGAGTGTACATCACGGAAGAACGGTATACAAAGTGCTAGGCTGATTGAGTCTCTCATGTACCTGTAATTGTAGGTCAAGGGCTCACCCACTCGTATACCCTGTAAAGAAAACACACCTAGCCTTGTCTTGCCGTTAACTTGCCTGCCAACAAACAACTCAGTTAAGCCATAAAAACACTTTTATATAGAGAATAAAGGAACAGCAAGCCACTAAATAAACAAACACATAGGTTAAAGAAATCCATATGCCAAGCTTCTGCAAATAAGACAATTACCAATTCTCCAACCGACAGTTAGGTCTGCAGCTGTGGTTAAAAAAGCGACAGTCATTTCCTCTGAATGTTGCATCAATTATAAAGTTGTTGTTGACTTTACACATGTAAAAAATTTGATCTCGGCGCTGTTTCATGTCTTGAAGCCTTTCTTCAAATCTCGCGCCATCTATAACTGGAATGGGGCATTATAATTATAAAATAATATATGATCTAACAAAAATGGAGAGTATACCGAGGTGAGCATCAATGATTATCTTTTGTAGTAGCTATTCTAGAAATGAAACTAGCTTTTGATTTTTAACAGACATGAACTCAGGTTAACAGCAATATGTTCAGCACAATAGCAGAATAGCTCACACAACATCATTAGGAAGGTAATCACAAGCCATAGTCTCCTGTAGAAGTAGGGGTTTAAACGAACTACAATCAGATTATAAAGCAAACCAAAGAACGAATCTCAAATACCTTCTCCAACAAACTCTATCACAAAATCACCTTCCTCAATGGTTTCCAATGCTATGGCACCCCATCCGCAATGTTGTGTCTACAGAAAAAACCCACCAGGGAGTTATTTGTCACACAAAAATCTCTTAATCATAACTATATTATTATTACCAAAGAAAGTTAATAACAAGATGCAAAAATAAAAGGAAACAAAAATATATTTATATAATTGGCGCACCAGATCAAGTTTAGGCATGAAACCCCAAATAGGAAAACAAAATACTTTATAGAAACTGGAGAAGGAAGAGAAGTCATGAAATTAAGGAGTATGTTAACATTGTAAAAAACATTATAAGTTGTGAAAGTTAAAACCTTTAATTATTTTTTGTCCTCTGAAAACATGAAAAAAGAAGTCCAATGAATTCCTTACCTTAACAACCCCGATCCTTTTCTCTCTGCGAAATGGTCTGTTAGTGCACTTATTTGAGCACTTGCAAGCCTGAGAGCAGCTAATGGACACAGACCTGTAGGAATTATCATAACTTTCTATAAAAAAATTGTAGATGCATTTATATAAAATGAACGCATAAAGCATTTTATAGAATATAATCACTCTAAACTCTAAGATACAGCATTACAGTATACATTGGAAAAACCGTTTGCTGTTCAATTGGAGTATAATAATCTGGAAAATCATTCTCTAGTTATAAGCACTTCGAATTCTGATGAGAATCATCTCATAAAAAACAACGTTACACAGAGAATAAGGATCCCCCAAAGCATGCACACAAGAAATTAAGTTGGTTCGTACCTGCACGAGCATCTTATTTGACAGGTCAGAGGAGGATCACAATCACTGCATTTAGCTTCAATGGCATCACCATCACATTTCTTCTTGACGAAATATACATCTTAGCTCATTGAGGAACGAAAGATTCCAAAGTTAAAAGATAAAAATGAAAATATATACTCCCTCCGTTCCTTAATACAAGTCTTTTTAGAGATTTCAGTATAGACTACATACGGAGCAAAATGAGTGAATCTACACTCTAAAATATGTCTATATACATCCGTATGTAGTCCGTATTGAAATATATAAAAGACTTATATTTAGGAACGGAGGGAGTAAAAGGGAAACTGGTCAACTAGTTTAAATTGCAATCATATAAAGGATACTATGCTTCAAACGTACATATGGAGGTGGTTTTGTCACACTTTCCAACTCCTCCTTAATATGGTCAATATTGAACTCTTGATCAGCATATGGGAGAGGTAATCGCTGGAAGGCTTCCTGTAAATGAATCAATACTCAACAATGAATACAGATCAAAGAAAAACTATAAGAACAAAACCGTTAATAGTCCACCAACATCACATATTTACGAAGGCAATATGACAGAGAAACAAAATTGGATAAGTTCTGTGTGTTCAGCAATACAGAGAATCAAATGTGAAGTGGAACTATTAACCACCTCAATGTTATATGCTGGACCTGCACCCTGTAAGAAGCACATATCACACCGTCAGCAACATTAACAACAACAGAAACAACCAAAGCCTATAGAAATAAAGAGATCAAATAAAATGCATTCAACCATATTAAAGCAAATGGTATGGAACAAATTGTTGAATGTTCTTTCTTTTCATGATTTAAGTAGTCAACAAAGAGAATATTTTGGAATGCATATTGGAGGCATTTACAATTGGAGGATGCCGTTTGCAGACCAACTTATCCGAAGAGGCCCTCCGTGGTCGATACACTAATACTAGTTAATGAATTGAAACCAGAGTACAAAATCATCAAGCTTATGTTTCATAATAAGACCTTCAGAATTGGTGATACGAAATAAGAACATATGCTTGATATGGTAAAAGGCTGTCGGTATGTGAGCATATAAGGTTATTGCTTCAGGCAACCTGCTCAATAGTCTGTATTTCAAATTGAGAATCGTGGGGCTGCAGGTTATGGTCAGGAAGAAAGTTATAATTCAAATTTGCATCCCTGTGCATCATTACACTTAAGGCTTTAATTTATACTATTCTCTCATCAGCCAATATTGAACAATCATATCAACCCAATACTAAATAAGCTTACCATGTTTTTATTGTAATTCTCGGCTCTTGCTATTAAGTAGAAAACTGTAAACACTCAGTCGCAATTATCTAGGAGAAACTGCCATGATGCCGGTTAAAAACCCAATTGTCCACACTGCTATATTATTGTAGGCACTGAAGATACGGTTTATATAAGGAACTGACAGAGAAGCACCAAATAGGGTGGATGAAGCATAGCATCAACCTCACTAGTTGATGACCAAATACTCCAACTTATCATTAGCTTTGAAGGATCAACAGGCTCAGCCATTCTGTTCTGATGCAGCGAACATTGCGTACATGCAGGCATTACATGTTTCAGCCGGTGCCAAGTTGTTCTCCTTTTGCAGTGAAAACATAACTGCACAGTTAACAAACATATGAGGGGATAAATAATCGTAAATTGTTGAAACTAACAAAGGCTTCAACGAAACAAAATACTCGTAATTATTTCTCATTGGTTGCACAGATAGGCATTTATATCTATAGTATATATCATTGTTTGTAATCTTGGAAAAAAATATAATTGCTTTTTAGATATGTAACTTTGTTTCAGCAACTTACATGTCGAGGGCAGCTTCCATCACTTTTTTCAGAACAAACCTTATGCAAGGTTACTTCACAGTGATGACCTGAACATCGCGTCCTTTCATCGGGCAGGATACTCCTTGAGCAAATTGGGCACTCAACCTAAATCCAAAGGATTTAAAAGATTCCTTCTTTTAGAGAATCAGTAGGGAATCACACTCACACTACCTTATGTAACATCCGGAGTACACATTAAAATACTGTGTGAGCAGAATCACTTGATATTGGTATCCTATATTCAGAATCTTTAAAGTGGATCAGAATCCTATAGGAAGTGTTACTTGGCATCCTTCCTTCATTTCTTGACCAAGCTTTCACCTAATATTTAATTAACTTATAAGAGTCTGACTGTGTTTCTATGCAGAAGATTGCATACCCTGATCACCTTGATGTCCCTTATAACAAGATTTATAGCATATTCCAGGATTGTTGTTCCCTTATTATCAGCAACCAGAGCTACAGAGAATGAATACAAGCAACGGCACAACACTTGTGTTTAATTGAACTCTCAATATTACAGCCTTCTTCTGTCAGTTCTATCAGAGTTGGGCGATCACATATGCAGCAACTTTTTATACAGGTTACCAAAGCATCTTTGTCCAAAGAACATTCCAGGAACATATACTTCGGAAGGCATCCGTATTTCCTAAGAATATCTACCCGCTTCAAAAATTCAGTTTCTTCAGGTTATCTCAGATCAACACTCCATTCTTGCATGCACTTGGGTGATGTCGTTGAGCTCAAGAGTTTTGAGTCTCATCTCCTACCTTAACTGAAAAGACACATAGTTCCTCCTGTGCGCTCTAGCTTCTTTTTCTTGCATAGAGCTAAATTCTTCCATATGTGCTCTGCATACATAACTTGAGATGCCACTATTCGTCCAGTTCATATGGTTAATGTTATAGAACTCAATTCAACATTTTGTAACATGTTTCTGAAGTACTCCATGTTCTTTAGTTGTGAGCAACTATCGGAAACAGTGTGTGCCCTCAGTCCAATTGTCCTATAAAATGAATAACCACCTCACATTTTCTAGTGTGGTGATGTCCTTGTTCAGATACAACCCTTATTGCACCGATTTCCACATCTCTATCACAGTTCTAGTTTTCTCTCCAATTTCTGTGGTGACATCCAAATCCATCTAGTGTATCATTTGCTCTCAGTGTGGAGTACTAATAACCGCATTGAGACTCATTGTTCTTTGTTCCAAACCATGTTCCCCTTTCGGTCTCTATCCCGAGTTCCGTGCCACCAGACAATCACCCCCATTTACCACTTCATCCCGTTTCTAGCAAACCTAACATTTTAGTTGTCAGAGTCCTGATTGACACACAAGCTGCTAACTGAATTGCAGGCCTGGCAGTGGTACTGGCACGTACCTTCCTCGGCGCGCCTTTCTGGAGGAAAGGGAGGACGCACTCCTCCGCCGGGGCGCCTGACGCGGCCTTCGCTGCCCCCCACTCCTCCGCGCATGCCTGTACAGTCCGCCGCAGAGGCGCCGCGGGGGACTTGCGCCGTATCCGCGAGGACGACGGCGCCGCCGAGGGGAGGCCACGGACGCGGGTCCGGACGCTGATGCGCACCGACCGGCGGGGGTCGGTTCCTCCTGGAGACTCCGCCGCGGCCGGCGGGGACGGTGGCGGGGGAGAGCAGGGGGGCTGCTGGGGCGCCTGTGGGCCGAGGCGGGCGGAGCGGCGGACGGGCGCTGGGCGGGGAGGCCCCGCCATTGGTGGTGACACGGCGATCGGACGGGACAGGATTAGGGTTTCCGTGCGACGCGCGGCGCGGTGTTGGGGGGATTTGGGGAGGTTGCGGGGGCGGAGAGGAGCGGAGGGAGCGAGCGGAGGGCGGGAAGAAGAAGAGGAGAAGTGCGGGTGCGGTTTGGGTAGTTCCTTGGCGGAGTGGGGCCGTGGGGAGTGGTGATGTGTAACGCTTAAACAACGCTCGTTGTGACCGTTAAGGCAAATCGGCCACTGCATCCGCAAATGGTCCGGCAGGGGTGCGGCCC